ATCTTTTATTGTGCTTCTGTGTATGTCTGTATTGGGTGAGCTAAACTTGCTTTGGGTATATTTCATTGGGGATAATAAGAAAGGGAGATACAATGACTAAACAAATGATCTTCAGAGTTTTGTGTCAGCAGCTTTTCACTGGCAATATGTGCATTTCTCTCTGAAAGTGTTTGTTAATGCAGAATTTCCTAATCGTAGATTCCAGCATAGCCTCTCCTTACTAAATACTGTGGCAGCCGGGGAGGAGACAAAGCCAATTAGTGTGACAGCAAAGCGTCAGAGGCTAAAACAGAGGTCTGTTTGTTTAAACAGAAAACTCGGCTTGCTAGAATCCGTGCTACGAAGATTCGAGGCACTAATGCCTATATGCGCTACAAACAAAATGGGCTCCTGATCAACTCGCTGGAGGAGGTAACGGGGCCAAGCAGCGGCTTGGGGGCTGACTGACCGGGGCCTCGCTGACGCTTGCATGCCGCTCTGCTCGGGGGTCCATGCCACCACACACAGGGGGAGGGGGTGCTTCTCATGCTGTAACACAGGGGGGCTGCTGTCATTCCAGCGCTTCAGTGTGATTGTCCTCTCTTTTACATCACACCTCTCAGCCGCAGCATCGACATCCTTCGTCAACACTCTCTCTCTGTCCATACAGCAGGAGGGCCAGGCAGGCACACTCGCCTTCTGGTGGAGCACAGCCATTACAGTCACACTGACTCATGACCAAGCTCTGCATGTCTGTCCAACAGGGTTTGGAGGGGAAGGAGGAAACCAAAGGCTTCCTGGACAGTAGGTCGCCCATGGAGGCTGTCGGCTCGGCCTGCATCTCCTCTAAACTCTGTTTCTGATCTGCTGTGTGTTCTGTGTGTTATTTCTAGAGCATCCAGGTTGTAATGCAGACTAACACAACATACCTTTCATCCCAGAGCCGTGCAGAGCTTCATCAAAGTGTGTGGTGTGATCGTGTTTCGGAATCTGTGTTTGGTGCAGTCTGTTCGATCTGTGTCTAGGTGTGCCACTGCTGTTGCACTGAAATGAGTTCAGCTCTAATTTGACTTTTCTGGTCTTTCTCACTAAATCAGCGAAAGAATGAAAAAAGTCCATCAGCGAAACATGTTGGAATCAGTCAGTGTATCTATGCATCTCTAAAACATCCCCATCTCACTAGGTTCTCAGTAGATTGGCTGCCGTGCTACAGATCAGCATTTCAACCCTCTGCTTTTCGTACTCTCCACTACATCACCGAGCTCTTAGCCGTTGCCTGACACTCTCTTCCCATCCAGAGTCTGAGCCTGCTCATCTACTTTTTTCTTTTTCACTTTGTGTGTTCCAAGGCCTCCAAGGAGGCAGGAAAAGCCCTGGTGGGGAAGGCCGCCAGCCCTCCCTTTGAGAGCCAGCATCATCACCTGCTGCACTGCCTGGAGAAAACCACGGTAAAATCCCCTCTCTAAAATCTCCCCTCTTTTTGTTTTATTTCACAAATTAAAACCTTAAAATCACTCTGGCATATTTCATTTCTACTATCGTGCTATGGCTCACTGTAAAAAATTGCTCCTCTTATGTAGCATTCCATTACCGGAACAGTTTGTGCTGTATCACTAGCAGTGTCAGCCTGTTACCATGTTTTGCAAATAGAAACAAAGTGAGTTCCTTCATTCATGCACAAACTGCAGAATCTATTTCATGTGAGCTAAAAATAGTAGTAAATGGGGCTGGGAAATGTTGAGTCCTCTCGCCAGCAACATGCTAAAGATAACATGACTGCCAGTCAGTAACATTATTTCCTCCAAACAAACCAGCACACTTCGTTTTACACTATCTATAATTTAGAGACGCAAGAAGTCTCTTTAATACTCGGCCGTGACTCAAGTTTTACACTTGCAGCTCTAAACCCTGTGCGGAGACATGGGCAGGCAGTAAATCAGTGTTCCTCGTCACAGATCATCCTCCCCCAAGTAAAAGGCTTTCCTGTCGTCTGGGAAAAGCTCCATAAAGGCTGCATGCCATTCAGATGGCAGCGCTCATGTGTACATCAAGCCTCTCATGACGTGCATTATAGATGGCAGAGAGGAGAGCAGAAGTGACAGAGCGAAGGTGTAAGAAAAAGGAGGCACGATTCAGGGCATGGCATCGGATTCTCCGCGGTGTCACTCTGCCACCTGCCGGCAGAGTTGGAAACATCCTTGGAGGCTGACCTTCAAGTCACGCTCATTTGTCACAGGGATAACAGTTGTGAATGTTTTCACAGATGGCACTTAATATGGACATCTGGGCCAATATTTTCCTATTCCCTTGATGATTCATTTTCCAATTATTAAACAATTTTGCTGTGGATTCTGCTCAGTCTGCTTCGTCTCTGCCGTGAAACGTCTTTACTCATTATTTAACAGAGCCAATCGTTGTTGTAATAGAGTGATTCATGAACATCATCCAATCCAGATTTTCCCTCACTGCCTTCCCTCTCCGCAGAACCACGAGTTTGTGGACGAGCAGACGTTCCAGGCCAACTGCATGGAGATCTCTACGATGAACAAGTCAGGGTCCCGCGCCTCCTCGTTGTCGTCGTCGCCGCACGGGCTCAGCTCATGCTGCTCGCGACGAAACAGGAAGAAGAGCAGCTTCAGCCTGCCCAGCACAAACAACCAGGAGCTCAGCACCATACAGATTAGAGAGAGACCAGTGGTCAACAGGTGGGCCGTCTCTTTTGCTCTTTTTTTCCTCTCTCTCATTTCAAAGTCTCACATATGCATGCACATCACTGATCCTGTAAAAGAAGACAAGCTAAACTTTATTGATTCCATGCAGGGACAGTAAAGGCAAAAATAAACCAGCATCTCATATTTGTGATAGTCTTAAAATGGCCAGTTCCTCAAAGTAGAAAATGTCCTTATTTTCACATAGCTCTGCAAATAAACCTACTGGTGTATCAGCGGATAGTTTGGGTTTTATTATACCCTCTGCCTCTGAGAATTGTGTTGACGATGATTGAAGTGATAAACAACACGTCGTTCCAAGGACAGTGTTCCTGTCACTCTGGACTATCCACAGAACTGTGAATAATTTTCATTAGAACTACTTTGTACTGAAGTTATAGTCCCTAATCTCTGTGAAAACTGTTGACAGCTCGTTCGGTGGATTATCCAGTGCAACGAGGACACTGTAGCTATGAAGAGGGGTCGCTGCCGTGTCTTGTTTATTTTTTATTCACCTCAATTTTATTGGGCTGCAGAATTATCTAAAAAATATGGACAAATAAAACCAAAATTTGGTTATTATCATTATTATTTTTAGGAATGGTTTATAGCACATTACACTTGTCATAATTTGGGTGAACTGATATCTGTTACCTTTAATATTGGTGTGAAAATGTTCATGCATAGATGCATTCTGTCCTCCATCATTAGTCCTATATGTTCTCTCTTGATTACATGTTTTCTCTACATCTGCCTGAATGTTGATGTATGGTGTTTATCTGACTCTCACTATTGAACATATATTATATAACATGGAATGAGACACCTCAAGTAGTTAGTATTTATGAAGGCTGTTTAGTCTGAACCTGAATATCAACCATTGATTTGATTCCACACTATTTTTCTATGTGTATTTATTAAGATATATCTACTATGATATGTATATGTGTTGCATTGCTGAAACATCACATGTTCAAAATGGATTGTGGGTATTTAAAATGGCAACTTTATTCTTTGTCAGAAGACTGAGGAAGAGCCTTTGTGCTCGACACCTCACAGTCAATTCCTTTAACTGAAACTTTTGAGTGCGTGGATTTTCGATTTTTGTAACAAAACACATTTATTATGTCATTGCCTCTATACTATTACTTTATAGAGAAATGACTGCAGTCCACATTGAAAACTGAAATATACCTTAATGAACAACATGAGCTAGTTTTCCGTTCCCTCTTTGTGAAGAATGCCTGTTTCCTAAGTGTGGCTTTAATAGAGTATAGACGCTCTGAAAGGACTCTGTGTGATGCAGGCTTTGTGTAATACATTCACAAGGTCAGGCCTCTCACCCTCTTTCATCCTGTGTTCTCTCTCGCAGCCGCTCCAGCCTGAATGCCAAACTCAACGAGACTGTGCCCTTGAAATGTGACGAAGCTTACATCACTCCCTCCATGGTCCGCCTGTCCGCCCCCGTGGTGACCTCATCGGACGGGGACGGCTCCATAACCGCCACCGCGTACTCTCAGAGCAACATTGTCCGAGTATCTGCCTTGTAGATGTCACGCTTATCTTATCAGCTAACTGGTCTCGAGCACCAGATGCTGAGGAGAGGGACCACCGAGKATCAACCTGCCATAATCTAGAGGGATTATAAGATTAGCAGAGGGGGGGGGGTGTTTTTGAAGTAGTGATCTCATCTGATGTCAAACTCTGCATGGTATTAAAATGATGTGGACGGCTGCCTTGGAATAAAAGCGACCAGCAGATCTTGCTGCATTAAGCACAGAAGAGCAAGGAAGTGTTTTGAGGATTGCGTGGTTTTTCGTTGTTGCCTAAACATACTGAGAAAAAAAACTTTATTTTTGAATATGTAATGTTGGTGTATTTGTTGTCTTCTGATTCAGAGGAGGAAAAGATGTTGTTTCAAGGTCATGCTTGGTGACCTTTAATGACAAAGCACATATTCATTACCCGGGGGCCATATTTGTGAATATTAAAACAATCTATGTGCACATTCACCTCAGTCAGCACCCAGTTATATAGATTGTTTTTTAAAACCCCTAATTAACTGGTTTCTTATTGTCCCCTCACTGTTGTAAATGCAGAAAACATGAATCCACAGGAATGAATAACTGTTATGAATATTCATTAACTGACTCATTAACTGGTCCATGTCATCGCTTGATGAGTAAAATATACTACGCATCTTGACATGTTTGTGAAATGTGCAAGTGAAAGTCAAAACGACAAAATATGTGTTAGCTTACATATTTGACATTCTGATATGGATCTATGTCGAAGCCATTTTCATCAAAGAGAAATACAGGGTACATACTAGTTAGGTTACAAGGTAGAGATATAAGTGAATGTTCTTTGCAACACTTAACTAATACTAACCCTAATGTGGACACGCATAGTATTGACCTGTACATCCAAATGAAAGAGGGTTGAGCATCGATTCCACTGATTTCCTGTTATATCACCACATTCAAAGTCAAGATCTCACTATGTCAAAAGGCCATTTTGTACATTTTTCATATTGTAAATATCTCAGAACTTTATCAACTGCATTTGAAGTTGGCTCCTCTAATTTCTAGATTTAGTTGACAGTTGTTGGCATACTCTTTCTGTCTGTTACCTGGTTGAATTAAGGATTTGCATGCTGTCATTGCAGAATTCTGTTTTATTAAAAGTATGTCTCTTCTTCTTGTTGGAGGTTTGTCAGTAAAAATTGGAAACTGGAGAAAGGAAAACACAACGAGGCTGGTATGTTATGTAAATTCTGCAACACTTTGCTTTTAATGAAATACAAATCTTGTCATGGAGTACATATATAAAGCGGTAAGGAAGGACGAATAATCACACATTGTGCATTTGGTTGAGTGGATAGAATAAATACTGTAGCTCTACTGAAACATCCACTTAATGAGCCATGTCTTTTTTTAAAAACTAAAACACAATTAGGTTGATTTTATAACGTTTGTCTCCTGATTGCTCAAACAGCATCACTAATAGCAGAGATGGGATGATAATTAGGTGATGCTGGAGGACATGTAAGGACCTGACTGGCCCAGTGGTGGGTCCAGGCTGTGGGGTCTCTGGAGACAGACGCACAGGCCTCATCGGTTGTTTGACAAAAAACTCAGCAGCGTCCTCCCCGCTGAGCTGATTGCGTTGGTCGAGGCTGCTTCTCACAGCATGCAGCGCCTGAGCTCTGCAGCGTTAAGTAATTGCTGAGAAGTCAACCTGCATAAAATCTGAGATAACACAGCGGCATATAAAATAGTAAACCTCCTATATACCTAAATACAAATCACACTTTGGGTGTGTGGCATTTAATGTAATTAAGTTCCAACAATGAATAGACCAATTCTATATAATGAATATTGACTGGTAACTAGTGCCACTTAAATGTGAATGCGGTTTTAACCTTTTTTCTTATTCTGTCAAATTCTGTGCGGAACTGTGGGTTCACTGCAGCGTATATTATGGGATCACTAAGTGATGTGATACAGGAAACAGACACTGACAGGATCTCCACATCCTGCATGATGTTTTTCTGGAAAAACAGAGAATTAAGAGAGAATGTTACAGATCATTCAAAAGACTGTAAAAGCTGTCAGTCATCAAACAAACTACTACTTCACACTTCACACATCTTTACTTCACTCTTGGTTTTTTGGTCCTAAAAGTGATGTCACAGCACTTTGTCTTTATTTTTAACTAAATGCTTGTTAAGTTTCATCCTTGCTTCTATGATGACTCACCGGTGTATTCTTGTTTTTGTGAATTACAAAATTCACCAGGATAGTCGTGATCAGCGGCAGCCAGAACAAGAGGAAGGTTACAATGATGTAACCAGCACGCTTCGCCATTTTGCTTTCCTTCTTTTTGCTCGCTCTCTCTTTACCTGCCTTTGAAGGCATCATGCAAACGGCACCATCTACCCCCATGTCATCTTTGGGAGCCTGTGTTTCTGCAGCATTGCCTGAGACTGGAGGTAATGAAGAAACTTGATCTACTGTGACAGCCGGGGTTTCTCCTCCGCTTCTGTCCTCGCCTTGTTTCGGTTTAATCTGTAAAACAGCAATAGATTCAGGATCTTCTGAGCAGGGAACACGGGGGCTGGTTCCTGTCATTTCAGTGGGCGCCTTGTCAGTTTTCACTTTCTCTTTGGTTTGGTTTTCTGTGTTAAATTTGCTTGACACCTTCTGTGGCTCTGTAGTTGAGCTCTTAACACTGCCAGCGGCACCTCCATTTGATGGTTTTGCTTCCACTGTGGCACTGGGGTTGGACTGCTCTGTTTTAAATAGTTTCTCTTCCGTCTGCAGTCGCACTGCAACCTGCTTTGCAGGAGGGCACGGTTGTTCTGTTTCCAAGTCTGTTATCTCCACAGTGTTCATCAATTCTTTCTCTGAACCAGACACACATTGTGCAGGTTTTATTGGGGTCAGTGGAGCAGTTGAAGAGTCTTTCTTTGATGAACACGCTTCAGCTTTAGTCACTGGCTCAACCGCGGCAGCAGGTGGAGAGGTCTGTTTTTCCTCAGACTTTCCATTTTCCACAATTGTGGTTTCTTCCGTCTTTTGTTTATCTTCAGTTTTTTCTTTCTTGGCAAGTGGAAAAGTACCTTTGTCGAATACTTTGCGATTGTGTGACCTCACAAGGGCAAATATGCCAGCATAGAATCCAATGATAAGACTGAAGCAGGCGGCCCACAGTGGGAACAGCATGTAAAGTCCAAAGGTGTCATAGGAGGCTAACATTTCTCTCTGTAATCCTTTGCACCTTATGTGCACGGGTGAGTCCTTTACAAATATGAGACAAAAAACAGCCACCAGAATCGCCAAGGTCCACGTGAGAGGAATCAGCACTTTGATCCGTCTCCTTCGTTGACTAATTTTGAAGGGTTGTGCAATGGCCTGGTACCTTTCTGCACTGATGCATGCCAGTGTTAACAGCTGGATACAGCAGCTGAAAGAGAAAGAGGCCACTTGAGCATCACAGATCATCTCCTCCACATGTCCGTACCGATACACAGCCACAACGATGGTCAAGAGAATGGGGCAGTCCATTACACACCGCAGGATGTCTATGATGGCAAGATTCACCACCAGAGCATTGTTCGAAGTTTGCAGTGACTTTTGGTGATAAACTGCCAGTATCACAAAAATGTTGGCAGCAATTCCAATGACAGAGGTCAGTAACAGCACCAAGCTGTTTGCCACCACAAAGGTGATGTCAATGTATTCCTCCAAAATGGTGTTATTTCCAGAGTCCCATGCACGCGCAGGTTCTGCTCTCATCTCCGACTTCAGAGAGTCGACATGTTTAGTTCCGTATCTTCAAACGCCGACCGAACTTACACTAAACCGAGATTAATGAGTGAACCCGTTGCTTGGACAAGTTACGCCAAAGTATCCGCCCTTTTCATTATCACTCTGCAGCACCAGCGGCCACCTGGGAGTCCTCGCTGTTCACATTCATTAAAAACTGTGCCGTGTATTCACAGCAGAGACAAATGGAAAGAAACGATGGCTGATCAAGGAAAAGCTGTAATGTCACTATTTTCTCAATCCTGATATCCAACTTTTTGAAATGCAGTAATGAAGATGGGAAACTGTAGTTTGTGTGTGTGTGTGTGTGTGTGTGTGTGTGTG